TATGGTAAAAGGGAAGGATGGTCACGCACGCATCTAACCGAGCAGTTTTCACTGCACAATCAGCCTAGTCATTGTGACCCTAGGACGTCATTTACACCATCCCTGCTGGACTGCTACATTTTTTTTTTTTTAATTGGTCTACAAAATTGACTAAAAACTGTAATTGAATTGCTCTGATCAATTGCAGATCTAAAAAACTGATGATAGTGGATATCTAGTGGACTGCACTGCAGTCACAGCAGCCAGAGGAAAGGTGTCCGCCTACCACGGGAGGATATGCTTTGGCAGAAGCTCGATCACAAACCATATTAGTATAAAAAAATCATAGTAGTATGATTTTTTACAAAGACAGACAGAGATTGGATCATAGGAAATAATAATAATTATCAGTGAGCCAGTGTTTATTTGTATTAGTATGATTTTTTCAGGCTAGTAGAATTCGTGGTCGAGCTTCTTTAGTCCTATTTTGTAAGTACAAGCTGTCTGTCATTGGTCGTAGAGTCTCAGTCATCTATTTAAAGGTAGGTGAAAAATTTATATTAAAGAGAGAGAGAGAGAAAAACGTTTTGTCATTTATGCTATTGCCACACAAAGTGCAAATTGGGACAGTCACTATAGTTGCACTGCAGTTTATGTAGGATATTTTTGCGGGAAAGCTCTGGATCAGTTCGCACGTGCAAGTGCCGTGTTTTGTGTGTGTGTGTGTGTGTGTGAACTCTCTCTTTCTCCTCCCCCTCTCTCTCTCTTTCTCCCTCTCTCTCTATCTCTTTCTCTCACTCTCTCCCTCTCTCTCTATCTCTTTCTCTCACTCTCTCCCTCTCTCTCTATCTGTTGCCTCTGCAGCTTCAGGACTATATTGATTCGGGCGTAATGTGACTGAGTTGTCGTGATCGGGGGGGGGGGGAATTAGTGGGCCATTTAAGGGGGAGTGGGGAGTCGTCCCTGAGCGTACTAATAATGATAATAATAGTAATAATAACAACAGCAATAATAATAATAATGATGTAATAATAATAAGAGAGCTGATAATAACAACAATAATAATAATAATAATAATAATAAAAAATAATAGCAATAATAATAATAATAATTGTAATAGTAATAATAATAATAATAATCAAACAATCCCGACCTGATGATGAGAAATATTCCCTAACATCAGGGACTTTTCCTATGTTGGAGAGAAAAAGGAATAAAGATAGAGAGAGGGTGAGAGACTGGTAGACTGTAAGAGAGAGAAAGAGAGAGAGAGAGAGAGAAAGAGCAAAAGAGAGAGGGAGAAAGAGAAAGAGACAGAAAGATCTCTGCATGATGGGGAATATTCTCCATACTGTAATAACTAATGATAATAAAGAAAATGACTGATAATAATGGGGGAAAAATAATAATAACTAGCATGCCCAAGCAAATAATAAAAACACCTTTATCACCCCCTCTCCGACCCACCTACACCCCACTCCCATCCTACCACCACAACTCAGTCAACCAACTCACACCTGAGTCAACATAATTAACGGATAAAAATCAACATTTTGGTGTGTTGCCAAAATGCTCAGAAGTCGCCTACCCCCAAAAAACACGCACCTTTATAAAAGCTTTCGAACGAGTGGTCAACCATGTACTTATTTTCGTTCTCGAGACATTTTGTTTCTAAATTTGTCGTACCCCTATATGTATGTATGTATATACATCCCAATAACGGTCGGTGGGACCCCCTTGTATCTCGGCTTCTCTCGGACCGATTCCAATGAACCTTGCTACTCTTGAACATTGGCCCGACTAGGTTCAGACCCTAAAGTTTCATGTTCCTACCTAGTCTGGAACCCTTTTTTCTCATTGGCGTAAACGTGTATCTTCATCGGTCCCGGTTTCAGATGGATGCCCTTGGATCTGACTTTCCGTAGGTTTTTGCCCCCTTTGAGTTGATCTGCCCCTTGATCGTGAGTTGTTGAGTTGATCTGAGTGAAGTTTGGAAGTGGATGTGAGTTGCTTTGAGTTGATCTGAGTTGGTTGGGTGAAGTTTGGAAGTGGATGTGAGTTGCTTTGAGTTGATCTGAGTTGGTTGGGTGAAGTTTGGAAGTGGATGTGAGTTGCTTTGAGTTGATCTGAGTTGGTTGGGTGAAGTTTGGAAGTGGATGTGAGTTGTGAGTTGATCTGGAGTTGCTTTGAGTTGATCTGAGTTGGTTGGGTGAAGTTTGGAATGGATGTGAGTTGCTTTGAGTTGATCTGAGTTGGTTGGGTGAAGTTTGGAAGTGGATGTGAGTTGCTTTGAGTTGATCTGAGTGGTTGGGTGAAGTTTGGAAGTGGATGAGAGTTGCTTTTGATCTGAGTTGGTTGGGTGAGTTGGAAGTGGGAGAGTTGCTTTGAGTTGATCTGAGTTGGTTGGTGAAGTTTGGAAGTGGATGAGAGTTGCTTTGAGTTGATCTTGAGTTGATCTGAGTTGGTTGGGTGAAGTTTGGAAGTGGATGAGAGTTGCTTTGAGTTGATCTGAGTTGGTTGGGTGAATTTGGGGAAGGGGGAGGAGGTTTGGGTTACGGGTCCCCCGGGGACTGGCTAGTGCAGTGATATATATACATGTGTGTGTGTGTGTGTGTGTGTGTGTGTGTGTGTGTGTGTGTGTGTGTGTGTGTGTGTGTGTGTGTGTGTGTGTGTGTGTGCGTGAATGGAAAACACTCTACTATGTTAGAAAAAACACAATGCGCAAATCTATATTATGGGTTCTTCTGCATACATATATATATACATACATACATATATACATACATATATGTATATATATATATATATATATATATATATTATATATATATATATATGTATATATAATATATATGTATGTATATATATAATATGAATACACACACACATACACACACACACACACACACACACACACACACACACACACACAATATACACATATATATATATATATATATATATATATATATATTATATATATATATATATTCATATATACATATATATACAGACACCATATATAATATATATATACAGTGAACCCTCGTTTTTTCGCGGGGTTTCGTTCCAAAAGAACCCGTGATAGGCGAAATCCGTGTAGTAACCTTTATCTTTTTACAATTATTATACAATGAAATACTCTAAAGTACAAACCAAAGAACAAAACCTTTTTACAGGCCCAAGCATTTGTTTAACAAGTAAAAGTACTGTATAAACATTTTTACAAATAACTACTGTACTGTAAAATAATAATTTTAATCATCAATACGAACTTAAGGCTTCATGGGTTTTAGAGAAAATTTGCGAACTTAAATTTGGCAAGCTGTTTTATGTACATGTACATATTAAACCGTAACGTTATTGACACAGGTAGAGAAGAAGCGGAGAGACTGTTTAGCCAATCAGAATGCAGAACACAATGCACAATGCAAATCCGTGAAGCAGCGAGAACGTGAAAGGGGAACCGCGTTATAGCGAGGGTTCACTGTATATATATAATCAACATGATCAATAAAGATAAAGATATGACTACACATATCTAACATCTTGATATACAACCTCTGGGATAACCACACATAATAGTACCATCTAATGGACCGGAAACAACTGGTAATGGACGTGTAATCGCCTCAAATTTAAAGCCACAAACTATTTAAATGTTCTCTTACCGACGCTGCAGTAGAACGGCTGACGGAGAAGAACCCAAGGACGTGGAACTCCAGAGGGCGCTCCAGCAGGCCCAGGACGCGGTTTGCCTGCAGGAGGAGTGAGCAAGACCATTGGCAGGATTATGATTATTATCGCTATTGGTTGTGATGTTGGTTGTTGTTGTTAATGGTTGTTTTTGGCAGTGGTGGTGGTTTTAGTAGTAGTAGTTGGTGGTGGTGGTGTGGTGTTGCTGTTGTTGGTGCTGCTGCTGTTGTTATTGTTGTCTGTTGTTGCTACTGCTGTTGTTGGTGCTGCTGCTGTTGTTGTTGTTGTTGTTGTTGCTGTTGTTGTTGTTGTTGTTGTTGTTGTTGTTATTGTTGTTGTTGTTGCTGTTGCTGCTGTTGGTGGTGGTGGTGGTGGTGTTTGTCTATGTTGCTTTGTTGCAGCTGTTGGATGTTAATGCTGTTGTTGTTGCTCATGATGCAGAGAAGGTATATATGTACATATATAATTATCTATTTATTTCATGTGTCTGTATGTGTGTGTTATGAAGACAGACTGATACACAGAAAGATGAAAACACACAAGAGTCAAAAGAAAAAACAATAACAGAACCTTACAATTTTATCTTCATCTCTACCAACAATTCATGATACGAACTTTAAGAAATGACACAGAAAGCTGAAAGGAATACAAATCACCTGATAAACACGCCGAAAAAATGCAGAAAACTGAAAATACATGAAGTCTGAGAATATACAAAAAGCTGAAATTACACAAAAGGCTGAACTTACACAAAAAAAACTGAAATTACACAAAAGGCTTACACAAAACTGAACTTACACAAAAACTGAAATTACACAAAAAGCTGAAATTACACAAAAGGCTGAACTTACACAAAAAACTGAAATTACACAAAAAGCTGAAATTACACAAAAGGCTGAACTTACACAAAAAACTGAAATTACACAAAGAGCTGAAATTACACAAAAGGCTGAACTTACACAAAAAACAGAAATTACAAAAAAAGCTGAAATTACACAAAAAGCTGAAATTACACAAAAGGCTGAAATTACACAAAAGGCTGAACTTACACAAAAAGCTGAACTTACACAAAAAGCTGAAATTACACAAAAGGCTGAACTTACACAAAAAACTGAAACACAAAAAGCTGAAATTACACAAAAAGCTGAACTTACACAAAAAACTGAAATTACACAAAAAACTGAAATTACACAAAAAGCTGAAATTACACAAAAGGCTGAACTTACACAAAAGCTGAACACAAAAAGCTGAACTTACACAAAAAGCTGAAATTACACAAAAAGCTGAAATTACACAAAAGGCTGAACTTACCGCTGAAACGAGTTGAGCTTCTGCATCACAGGGAATTTGAAGACGTATCGTTTGGCTATCCTGAAGCCGCTAAAAAAATTGAGAGACAAAAAAAATGACATATAAGCTATTTTTATATATTAAGAAGAAAAAAACATCCATTATTTACAAAAAAAAACAAAAAAAAAACGCTGATTAGACAAGAAACTGCTTTCGCCATTAATACAAGAAATTACATACGCCATTTGTACAAGGCTTTTCTGTGTCGATTTTTTTTTTTCATATTTTTAAATGGATTTCGATTTTTTTAAATGTGTGTGTATGTGTATCTAACATAGATGTAGGAAAAGGGGGAAAGGGGGCCGATTGCCCTCCACTCTAGAATGGGGGGGGGGGACCCATTTCTCAACTTTCGAGGACGTTCCCTGTATACAAACATTGAAAATCCTTAGTTACCTAGTTGTCGAGAACACTGACCCCCTGCATCTGAGAGGGCGGCTACAACTGAGACTTGGTGCTAACAATTAAATACCCATTATGTCAAGTATTGTCTAAATAAAAATGTCCGACATTTCAGTGCACAAAATTAATGCGTTTTCTCTCTTTAAAACTGCTAAAATCATTGGTCCCCCACCGGGGCGCCACCCCTGGACCCCGCCAGGAGCCAGCAGCCCCCAGGACCCCGGGCTAGTTATAGGGGGAACCTACTCTGCCCCCCCTCCCTCCCCCTCCACTTCAAAATCTCCTTCTTATACCTGTCTAAGATTATTATTACTAGTAGTAGTAATAGTATTAACATCATTATCATTGACATTGTCAGTATTACTCTCATTATTACTGTCTGCATTGCCTCCATGATCAATATCCTTACTATCCTTACCATACCGTTAACATTATTGTCACTATTATCATCATTATTGTTATTATCATCACTGATAGTACTATTACAACTATTACTACTACTACTATCATCATTATCGTTATTATTAGCATTTATCATTATCATCACTATTACTACTATCACTATGTTATTATGTTATTATTAGCATTTTGTTACTATTAGTATTTATTATAATTATCATCATCATTATTATTATCACCATTACTATTATTATTGTTACTATTATTACCATTATTATTATCATCATAGTTATATCATTATTAGTTTTGTCAGTGTCATTATGATTATGATAATCATTATCTTTATTACCATTATCATTATTACTCTTACCGTTATCATTACTATCATCACCATTCTAAACATTTTAATCCTTTTTCGTTATTATCACTTTTATCAACACTATTGCACCCAAGCTACCTGTGAGTTGACGAGGTCCGGGCCGAGGCAGATGACGAGGTAACAAGCCGCCATCGTCATAGCGGACACGAGGGTCATCCAGTCCAGCGTCGACGTGGACAAAAGCCTGTCGATCAGAGAGTACAGCTGGAACGTGATGCCGGAGGAAACACCCAGCGACATCTGCATGACAACTGGACCGACGTATCGCATCATTTCGCTCACAGTCCTCTCCAGGTGAATCAGCTGTCTCTCCGCCAGCGCGAAGTTGCGGGGCGTGAGAACCAGCTGTTTCCTCGGGGTTCCGGGCGTGGGGTGGGTGGCTTGCTTGGGGTGGCTTCCGTGAACGGGCGTAGTCCAAGGTGTCACGTGGTTTGCCCATCCTGCCGACTTTTGGAGGGTAATGTTGTCAGCTCTTAGATTGAGGTTTTCAGTCAGTATGCACCGATTCAGTACTTTAATTCTCCACGTCAGAATCAAGAAAAACCCGACCGGAGACATGAACTTGACTCCTGCAAAGCAACTGAACATAACATGACAAGCAACATACAGCGTGACCTCTGCCTCTGTCTTCGCCTCCTCTGGTATCCGGAGATAGAGGTAAGTCATCAACATCAGACATCCGTACAGCATGAAGGTAGCAGCGGATATCACAATGTTCTGACGGGCGGTTTCCTTTCCCGATTCTGGAGAGTTCAGTCCTTCCAGCATTCTGAGAACTCTCGCCAGCCAGGAACTCGCGAAGAATACATAGAAAGAAGTACCCAGAAAGCAAACGACATAGATGTAAGACCAGAGGACGCTTGTCGTATCGTTGGCACTGCTCGTTCCCGATAACGAGGGCGCCCACATCAGCAGGTAACATCCAGACGCAGGCACAATCGCACACAGGATAACCGACCAGACGAACCAAACCGGTTGCACTTTCGTCTCCCTGGAATCAATCCTGTAAGGGAAGGCCCCCACGAACTTGTGGATTGCTAAGAGCACACGCACACTTCTCATGGTGATCGCCTGGCTCTAAGTAACGGAGATCCCACATACGCTGAGCCGACTTTATTTGTCTTATTTTTTATTTTGTATAGCAAAGTGGTGGGAGCTGGGCAAACATCGTCAAAAGCCACTTGAACACGCCCTTGGTAATTACGGAATAATGTATATGTTCTCTATACGGCTATTAACGTCAGGGTTGATTGATGGAAGTATTTTCTTGCATAAGGGATCTTTACATTAACACCCCCTGATGACCGGGTATGTGCGATTCAGTTTCTTTACGCAACAATTTTCTGATCATTTATCAGTTATTTACACCGTCTGTACCTTTCAGGAAATTCATCGATCATCTTTATCCATCCAAAATCGCGCAACGAGACTTATACATAATTGTTTGTAATTGCAGAGATGAGGAAAGTTACATGAAAAACGGAAGTGCCGTCCAGTTTCTTCCTTTCACAATTGTATTATTTGTGTTGACCCGTATATTATTATTCGAATTTCATTCTATAAGTATTATTATTACTGTATAAGAATGATTATTGTTATTATCTTCATTACCATTTTTTCATTTTCACTATCTTCAATAGCATTTTTCATTGTTATTATCATTATCCGCATTATCCTTGCTGTTATTTTCTAAAACATTTTTTTACTCCTATTTTTATCATTGTTATTGTTAATTTTGGTAATTTTCTATATTACCTTCGCCTCTCCGTTATCGACGATTTTGGTATCGTTGGATTCCTCTCACTCTGTACAATCCAAATATGTAGGGTTTATTGCGCTGAAACCCCTCGTTAGCGGCAAACTTGGCCCCGATAGCAGGGGCGGACGTAATATAGAAAATTACCCTAATAATATAACCCACAGTGAAAATAACGATGGTTATTCACATGACTACCCACTGCAGGGGGAAGTCATGTGACTTCCCCCTGCAGGATAGAGCGCACACGAACTTGATGCATCGAGAGAGGCGCAAAACCCGCCGACCCGACGAGGGCGGTTCACCGCCGCTCTTCTGTTCATGGTATACCTTGTTCATCCTGATTATACTGCAATCGTCTCTGTATACAATGTTGGCTATGTCTAGGTTAGCATGCTGATTCAGTGGGAATGTTACGAGGTAAATGTAATACGTCAGCCGCTCCGAGATCGCCGATAACTGTGTAACGCTCTAGCCTGCCGGGAATACGTGGTGGAGGTTTTGTGTCCTCGGCGGGGGTTGGAGGGCGGCAGCCCCCCAAGGGGGGGGTCGCATGGGGCACACACCCCTGCAATGGAAAGTCATGTGAATAACCATGGTTATTTTCAC